CCATCCAGCGGGGTCCGATGAATCCGAATGCGTACGAATCATGCGAGCACAATGTTGAAGCACATTTGTTTTGCAATAGAACCGGGGCTCTCCGCCAAGCCGAGTGGTTTTTCGCATCTTAGAAAACTCAGGATGCCATTTTTCTAAACAGCGGCTGAAATCCACTCTGCGTTCTCGCCGTCGCACGCCGCTGTCTGCTGTATAAGTTGTACGCTCACACGCTCTCCCACGCGGCTTTTCGTCCTTTCCCAAATGCGTTGCCCGAATGTGCAACCCGACAGAAACGTGGCCAAGCTCAACCGACGTCCTCCAGTTGACCCCGATTTTGAGTCGCCACATCCGTCCATTGCTTTTGTATTCCAGCATCGGCAGAATCTTCAACTGGGAGAAACGATTTACACGACTAGAAACTTGAAAGTGAGAAAAAAAAAAATCTTATCGCGGAACAGTTTACTCATCCCCGCCCAAGTTTGATGGCCATTAACGATCAGAAAAGTTGAGGGCGAGCAAAGATTGCCATACTCGGTCTTCCTTTTTGGTTCGAATCTTGTAATCGGCCATTTTCGGACTGCCATCGAACCACCGCAAAGAGCGACAGCAACGACCATTTGATCCCGCAGGGGGGACGGACTGCCCGGGCGAATCAGGGCCTTTGTAATAGTTAAAGAGGACAATCCAAAGACGATGTCTGGAAAGTCCGTCTCCCGCAGAGGATCTCGAGCGACAGGACGTGTCGTCGCGCTTCAAACAAATCGGGTTCATCAAGACTCCATCGTCCGATGTCAACATTTGTTTGCGGCACGTATTGTTACCAAAATACGGCGCGCCCTATACGATCACTGTGACGGGAATAGCAAAGCCCCCGCAACAACACCTCAACCGCCATCACCTCCTACTGTGTTCTAGCAGCCTTTGTGATCCATAATCACCTCATCAATCATCTCTCACATGAGCTATCAAACCAAAAAAAATAGCAACCGAACCAAAGCAAAGGCGCCAGTCAGCAGCCCCTGCTCCTGTAGAAACCCCAGGCCGGGTCCGAGCCTGGTTAGAAGCAAGCCAAAGGCTTAGGATTGGGAAAAAAAAAAAAGGACACTGAGACTTTTTCTATTTATTGACAAATCGAAACCAAAGAAAACCCTTTTTCTGCACCTAACTGTTCCAACAAACGGACTGGAGATGGAAGAGTATGACTACCAAAAACAAACCAAAAATATTTGGGGGAGGAAAAAAAAAAAAATCAAAAAGAGTGGATTCAGTGATGTCAAGGATAGAGGACGACGCTGTGAGGATGAGGAGGGATGACATCACAAGAGAGGAGGAATAGCTTTGTTCTGGCAGAAGGCAAGTCAAGCCGCGGCCAAGTTGGGGACTGAAAAAGGGAAAAACCACACGGGGGGAGGGAGGAAGCGGAGGACGCCCATCGTCAGCGTTCTTCCCTCCAGCCTGCAAATGTCCGAACATTCATGTGTCTCTCACGGTTGAAGAGTGTCTTTAACGTGTGCCTATGCAGTTTTTCAGCGTAAAAAAATGGTTAAACGAACAACAGAAACCTCAGCTAACAAACCAAAGATTCACTGTTAACGCCAGAAGCAGTTCTCCTCCTCTTGTAACAGCCCAACTTCGGCTAAGCAGCACGCGTGCGCCAGTCACACGGTGTGCTTTGGGTTTCCCTTCCGTGTACTGTCATACTTTTCAACAAGGCCGACATCGTTTCCGACCAAATGTCTCGGGTTCGCATGATGTCCGCTCAAGTTTGCTAATCTTCCGGAACTGCTAGCTTGCAGTTGGCTTTCTTTGCCACCCGCTGACGCAACACGCTGTCTATTCACACAACCAATTTGAATCAACGCTAGGTGAGAAAGCCACCTAGCCATTAGCCTTAGCCGTTAGCTTCTCCGCAAGGCGAGTCTACCTCCGAGCTTCCCGGGCTTCAGTGCAGGGAATGTTAATTAATTGCTGCCATTTTGTTCTTGATACATTTGAGCAGTTCATTCAGTCACGGTTAAAAAAAAAACAAAACGCTAACACCACTTGTTAACGAACTACAATGCTTCCGTCTTCGGTGTTTCGCTTCCATCCAGTCCAACACGAAACATTCATGTTTCTGCTGACTGATTTCTTGAGCTTCCTAAAGCAAGAAGAGTGACAGCATAACGCTTTGTGAGATGTACACTTCATACCAAAGACCCTTTGCTGTGCCAGCACAACTGACTACTACTCTCCTCCGCCGTTTCTAATTTCACTCAATTACACCAGGAAATCGCCCCAAAACGTTGCGAGTCAGATTTTGTTGTTGATTAGCATAACTAGCTTGCACAAAATCCCGCCTCATGCCGCCTTGGAGAGAGACGAAGTAGCTTGGAACAGGCGCGCCGAGCGTGTTCTTTAAGAGGAGGGGAACTCTGCTGCAACAACAACAACAACAAATGAAACCAAAATCCAATTTCTACATCATAAACACACACTGAGAGAAACTGCTCAAATATCGGTCAAATAGCTTTATCCTTGATTTTTCTCTCTTTCTGTATGTGAAGCTTCTAGTCCAAAGAGATGCCCCCACCCACTGAGCCCTCCAATCCCTGTTGACAACACCCAATGGAGGGGTGTTGTTTATGGAGCCGGGGGGTGGCGGCCATTTTCCATTTTCACTTGCAATTCTGTCTGGATGTAATACAGGCGAAACCAAAAAGAAAAGACAAGGAAAAAAAAAAGGGGGCGGGGGGTGTATGAAACCGAATACGTTCCAAAGAGGATTCCATTGCTTGTTTGCTCGAAGTACTTAAAAATGATTGCCAATAATTTTGTCTAGTATTACATTCCTACTTAGGATTTTTTTTTAATTTAATTCTAATTTATTCTAATTTAAGCGAACAAATTGTGTTGCCAAATCTCCCACTGAACCCTTCCCCCTTTTGATGAAGATTAGCTTTGCCAAAGTTTACATTGTACGTTCCTTTTTCCTTTCTGTTTAATGCTGTATTTATTTGTAAGGTGTTTAGAACACTCTAGGTTTGTACTTGATGATAATTTAATGATATTTAATTAGGTGTAATTGTTTTCAATGAATATTTATGTATTTAAGAATGTTAGTGGCATCAAAGATGCAGTGCTAATGCCAGGCCTATTAATTTATTAGCTTTACTTTCAAAAGAAAAATGAACAAAAAAAAAAACAACCAAAAAAAAAAAATCAAAGGCAATGTGCTTTTTATGAATGCTTAGACTTAATGACAGAACAATGTAGGAATGTTAAACTAGACTTACATCTGAATGTCCACTCATGCTCTCAGTGTTTGCTTTTTTTTTGTTTGTTTTTGTTGTCGTGGGGATGATGTTTCATTTTTGAACATAAAAAAAAACGGAAAAAAAAAAACCAAGGCTCAGAACAAAGCCAACAAATGACAAGCGCTGCATCTCTCTTTGTTACCGCTAATTTAGTGTTGAAATTGTTCTTTTCATTTGTTTGCATTCTGCTGACCATTGTTGCATAAGCAGTGACTTTCAGGCTGATATTCCAGATGGAGGGAGGGGGATCAAGTGAAGCGCGGGCCACACATTGACGTAAAACTGAATGACCAAAGATAACTGGAATCCTTGAGAGAGGCAAATAAACTGTGTGTGTTTACATCCATGCAGATCATACCCTGGTTTAGGACTTCTTCTTACATTTGTTGTCATATTAAATTGATGGTTTTCTCAACGACGCTGCCTATTTGCCACAATGAAATGAGAGGTTTGTTTGTGGGGGGGGGTAACTCCGTATTTTACAAAGAAGCCATGCCGAAAAAAAAATGAATTCCTTTTTTCAGAGATCAGTGGCACGTTTTGTGTTGCTGTCGCAAAGTACAAGTACAAAGTACAGCTCAAATTTAAATAAATAAATAAATAAAATTGTACCTGTTGCCATAGGACAAACGGGATCAAACGTAAATGGGATTCAAATTCTCCAGGAAAATCAACATTGCAAACAAAACAATATTCTTCCTCTCTTTTCTGAGATTCTGTGCAAAATCGAATCCACATTCGAGCTTATCCGATTTATCGTTAAGTGGGATGTGATGCGAACACACTCCGGTTCCACTGTGTTAACCTTCATCGGCGTGCGGGTGTGCCGGAATGCAAACGCACGGACTCATTATGTTATCTCGTTCGCGAGAAAAAGTCACTTGAAGCAGGACCTGCATCCAAGAATGATTTTGCGCGTGTGTCAAAAGAAAGCGATGTCTATTTCGGCAGTGAAGTTGAGTTGAGTTGAGTGAGAGCCAGACTTAAGTTTCCATTTGTCCTTTTGATCATCTTGATGAAACCAAAGATACCAAATGTTTTTTTTTTCTTCTTCTTCTTCTTCTTCAGTGCCATCTGCGTGCAGCTCCGCTCTTGCTTTTGCGAAAGTAGGCTAATGCTTATTTATGTATGGATGTCTTTATTTATTTATTTATTTTTCACCTCCACCGTTTTTTGGCCTTTACATGGTCTTTGTTCTTCGAATGAGACCCAGTCCAAAGAGACGACGTGAATGAGGCGGCCATTTATTGTCCTGTTTAACTTTTTTTTTTTTTTAAATCATGATTTATGACATGGACATTCTCTTTTGTTTTATATTAGGCTCCCTGACAAAACGTTCAAGGAGAGGGCTATTTTTTCTTTCTCGCTCAGAAATGTAGAGAAGGGGCACCAACATAAATGACATATTGGGGAAAAAAATAACAATAAATGAAAATATGCGGTTGCGATAA